ATAGATAGAGATAGATAGATAGAGAGATAGAGAGATAGAGAGATAGAGAGATAGAGAGACAGAGAGATAGAGAGAGAGAGAGAGACAGAGAGAGAGAGAGAGTGAAAAGAGGGAAAGGGGAAAGGAATCTTATCTCGGCATTAGGGTTTCGTTTGATCTCTGCGCAGGATTCTGCGCGCGAGAGTTACTAATTGAGGAGCTTAGGAGGGAGAAAGAATCAATTACCATTGATAAATAAATATTAATTGGTGAAACCAAATTAATTAAAAGACATCAAATTGTTGTGGGCATTAATAATGAATTTCATGTGCAATCACATTTCAATACATGATAAAATACTAAGATAATAATTGTCCTTATTATTCATTAAAGATAAATAGATATCCATTGTATTAGAGTACTAAGAGACTATGAAAAGAATCATTAATTATTGCCCCAACCTAGTTATAAAAAGATGTCACCTAAATTCTGATAATCAAGTTATATTTGAACGTTGGCCTGGAGATTGAAAAGAGACGAATATCTATAGTTGTAACCCAAAGTTCTCGTTTTGTCCTCCAAAAGTAGCTGACAAATTTTGCATCAGGAATTGGCATGATTGATTTGGGCAAGCCACAATGCTTTGTGATTTTCTTAACAGATAAATATGCTTAAGAAAAAAAATTGATTGTTTTGGAACATAAAATGTACTTTAACATCTTGGAGAACTTGTGATGTCATTATAATTGGAATATTTCCTCGTATAATCTTTGATAAATCCAAGACAAAGTTCAAGTTGATATATTTTCATCGCAAATGCATCTACTTTGACTCTTGCAATGACATCGTTTTACACATCATTACAATTTTGATCATAAGATTAACCATATAGCCACCGTCACTGAGGTGATGACAATGGAGACATATCTAGGAACTCTTCATGTGTAAAACCTCATAAGGAGGATTACGATGAGCTCTCACATTTATAGTTGATGAGGACATGCTGGCAAGTGTCCGAATTCACTAAAGTTTTCATCTCAGACAAATGGTTACCAAGCACCCTATGATTCCTAAGTAGAGGATGGAATGAATGTTTTTTGTTACTGTGGTCAACTTTAGGTGCTACTTTAGGATACAAAATTTTCTTAAGAGAGCTAGTCGTTGAAAAGAGGGAAGCCATGGCCTCTATGGAGTTTACCCAACTGTTGATGAATATGGAAACAAAAAATTTCATTTACCCTAGACCAGCAAATAGCTATCTATATTTAGTAATAATTTACTCGTCAAAATTATTCTGGTAGGTTAACGTTTGAATGATCTGCGTTAGGCTCCAAATCAATAGAAATATAAACTCCACTTGAAAATTTTTAACCTTGATTTCCATTTAACTTAACACTTTCTTTAAATTTTTTGGTTTCCTGTAATGGATTAATGCTTTCATTTTCCTTCCCTTATCTACTAGCACAATATTGTTACCGCCTTTTTCTAGGGGCATTTACATGCATAGCACTCAATTCCTATATATTTACATATCTAACACCTAAAATTTATTGTTTACATATACCACCCAAAATTTTCATATCACATCGAACATTCCACAATTTTAACTTTAAAAAAAATGAAATACACATTTTCATACATATTTAAGGTGTCGTATTCCTAAAAATTGAAGTTTAGGTGTTAGATATGTAAATACATAGGAAAATAGCAGTATGTATGTAAATCTTCTTGTATAGAAATTTGTCAACTGTCTACTCCACACACACTATATTCATGAATGCTGCACCCTCCTTGCAGTTATTCGCCTATGATACAGTAAAAAAGGCTCTAACACCCAACTCCGGGGAGCCACCCAAGACTCCCATCCCAGTCTCCCTCATCGCAGGAGCATGCGCTGGAGTCAGTTCCACCCTCCTCACGTATCCTCTTGAACTACTAAAGACCAGGCTTACCATAGAGGTATTATTATCATTATTACTCATCTCACATCAATTTTAAATTTATTCTGTCATAAGCAAACAGCTCATTGTAAGCCCCCACATTACTTGCAGAGAGATGCATATGACAATCTCTTCCACGCCTTTGTTAAAATCTTGCGTGAAGAAGGGCCGACGGAGCTCTATCGCGGCCTCACTCCGAGTCTGATCGGTGTGGTTCCATACGCCGCCACCAATTATTTTGCCTACGAGTCGTTGAAGCAGGCTTACAGGAAAACCTTTGATAGGGAGGATATTGGCAATATCCCAACTCTTCTAATTGGGTCTGCGGCTGGTGCTATTTCTAGCACTGCTACTTTCCCTTTAGAGGTTGCGCGTAAGCACATGCAGGTGGGAGCAGTGAATGGAAGGGAAGTCTACAGGAACGTGCTCCACGCCATTCTTAGCATACTGGAGAAGGAAGGAATTGGGGGTCTTTATAAAGGCTTGGGGCCTAGTTGCATGAAGCTGGTTCCGGCTGCAGGCATCTCTTTTATGTGCTATGAGGCGTGCAAGAAGATTTTGATTGACAAGGGAGATGATTGAGGTACGACAGAGTTTTAAATTTTTTTAACTGACCTTTTTTTTATTT